ACATAGAGTTGGTTAGGAGGAGGTGAAGGGAGTTGGCACCTTGCCTCACCTGAAGGATGTCTGTTGCTCTCCTGCATGAAGTACTGCAAGCCATGTGCACACTTAAATAGATTTTTCACAACTAGAGCATTTTTGTACCAGACGTTATTAAAAGGTACTTATTCTGGAACACCTCTCAAACCTGGACTCTATTTTTAGCTCAATGCTTGTTCCACTCTTGGGCAAAAAATTGCCCTCTTCCCCTGAAACATGCCTGGGAACAAAGAATGACACCTTGAAGGCTTTTTAACTGTACTCCAAGATAAATGCATGAGACAGAAGAAGCCTCAGTGTCTCTTAATAGCCCTGTAGCACACTGTAATTTTGCTTTAGTAGAACAGACCTTCTAATGACTATCTCCTGCCTGCAGTTTACTGAAGAAAAGCTGGGCCAGGCTGAGAAGACTGAACTAGATGCCCACTTTGAAAACCTTCTGGCCAGGGCAGACTGCACAAAGAACTGGACAGAAAAGATCTTGCGTCAGACTGAGGTTCTGCTACAGCCAAATCCTAGTAAGCCCAGCTTCTTCTAATGCTTGAAGGACAAATATGACTTTGCAGCTCAAACAGTGTTAAAAGACATGCCCTCTGGCAGAGAGCCCTGTTCCACTGAGTTTGTGGGGGTTGGAAGAAATGTGTCTTTGCAGGGCCAGTCCTTCCTTCCCTATGTAGCTGAGAGATGACTGGGTGTGCTCCTCGGGACTGGGAGATGGTTGGAAGGGAGGGCACGCCTTCTGCTGGTGCTGGCGTTTGCAGTCCAGTGCATGATTGAGGACTGTATGGGGTGGGCCACCATGAATGCCAGTTCCAGCAGCCCCTCCTTCATCCTCCATCCTGTAACCGCTGGTGGCATCCTCATTCCAGGTGCCAGAGTAGAAGAATTCCTCTATGAGAAGCTTGACCGGAAGGTGCCTTCCCGGGTCACCAACGGGGAGCTGCTGGCACAGTACATGACAGAAGCAGCTAATGACTTTGGGCCAGGGACACCTTATGGTAAGTCAGCCTGGCTAATTAAAAAGCCCTGGGAATCCTTCCCTTCCTAAGAGAGTATCCGCACTACTGTTTTGGGTTAAGACTTCTGCAGCATGCGTCTTGAAGGGGGCAGGGGTGGATCCCCCCCATGGCAACCTGACTATTAGTGTGTCAAAGCTGATGCCAGAGAAGGGTCTTCTCTAGCACAGAAGCAAACAGCCCATCTGCAGTAGGGAGTCAAATCTTACTGCACAGCAAAGCATGCTCCATGCTGTGGGGGAAAAGGGGCAAGGGTCTCCTCATTCCTAATACAGCCCTCGAGTCTGCTAGACCTAGAGAAGAAATAAAGACACGTGGATCCAGGGTAGCTAGTGGAACTGGTTATAGGACACAGAAACTATTCTGTGCTATTTCTGTGGCTTTCTAAACTAGCCTGAAGAGGGAGTTGCAGTGAATGGCTTTAGCTTTGTCCAGTTTGAGCATATTTTCAGTCTAAGGTGGTATCTAGTTGCACAGAGTTTCTCTAGACTCTGAACAGGAGAGCCATCCTTTAACTGTGTCCTGCAAATGGAGGGTGGAAATCTTTCTCCAGCAGAAAGAGAGCAGGAAAACAGACTCGGGAAGGTTGGTGCTTGGCTACAAGCCTCAACAGGCCCCTTCCTGACCACACAGAGAATCCTTCTGCTCTTAAATCCTAACAGTTGTCACTTCCTGGGGGAATTTTGGGCTTCTTTAAGCAGCAGACCTGCACAGAAGCACAGCCGTAACTTCCAGTTGTCCTTGCCTCCGCCATGAGCTTTGTTACTGCTCTCCAAATCAATAGTTGTTCAATAGCGAGTCCTGTTACAGGCAGAACAGCTGTAACTGCATCTATAGCCAGCACTGCCTAATCATTTTTTTTCCTGCTCTGGTGCTTTTTAATTTGCTGCTCTGTTCCTGTGCCTCTGTTTTATGAGACAAACAAAGATCATTCTGCGCAAGCAGGTGTAGCAGTAAAAGGACATCAGTGGAATAAGTGCCTCAGCAGATAGATAAGATCAAAGCTGCACTGGGAGCAGCTGAGAAGAGGCCTCAGGCTAAAAGCAGATTGTAGTTAGGACTGAAGCTGGTGTGGTATGGGCATGGTCACCTTGCCCAGGCGGGGTACACTCCCAGCACTGGAGACTGGTGGCTCTGGGTGAGTTGGCTGAAGCCTACACAATGTGAATTGGTTTCTCCTGGAGTTGAAGGCTCCTGTTATTGCAGGGAAGACCTTGATAAAAGTTGGAGAGACTCAAAGGCGCTTAGGTGCAGCAGAACGGGACTTCATCCACTCTGCCTCCATCAACTTCCTGACCCCACTGCGCAACTTCCTGGAAGGGGATTGGCGAACCATATCTGTAAGTATGGTAGCAGGGAAGGGGAAGCTTGTCGTGTCACCGGAGACAAGGAGGGTGGGGGGAGAGGGAGACAGTGCTGGAAGAACTCATTTTCCTTCCCTGGGAGAAAGGAGGACTCCATACCTCTCCCCTCAAAGAATGCAAGGACAGGGGAATACCAATCCTAGACCTGTCCAGGGCTCCCTCTGCGGCAGGGAAGGATTGCCACTTGATGTGCATGAGGAAGGTAACTCCTCTCCTGCCTCCTGCAGCTTTGCGGGCACCACCCAGCCATAGGCTGCCCTGTTTCCACGTTAGCCTGTATCCCCGGCAGCCAGGCCCACAACTTGCTAGTGAGATGAACGTAGCAACTCTTCTTTCTCCCTAGCACTTTTTGGTAAGGAAATAGATTTGATTCCTAGATGATACCTTGTCCCTTTCCCTCCCCAACAGCTCCTAAACAGTCTGCTCTTATCCCACTTTCTGTCCCTTCCAGAAAGAGCGGAGGATCCTGCAGAACCGCCGCCTGGATCTGGATGCCTGCAAAGCCAGGTTGAAGAAAGCCAAAGCTGCTGAGGCAAAAGCAGCGGTAACTTTTTCCCTCATTCCCCTCTCTGTCCTTCTGGCCCCAGGGCTTGCCTCACATGAGCAATGCCACCTGCTTTCTGGACAAAAATTAGGCTGCCCTACTATGTCCTGGTTCTGGCAGGCATGGGTGGGGGGATTCCTCCTCTGGTATGCAAGGGAACTGGGAGCAGGATCCATACGCCTGTTCCTCAGATCCCCTCCCATGGGGGAGTTGTTGAAACAAATAGTTCTGAGCTTCCAGAGTCTGGAAAGTTCTACTTGACCCAGGCTCCTGTCTCCTGACTGCTAGTGGTTACTGGAGGATTTGTGCTAGTAACTAAAAAGCTGCATCTTCTGAGGACTTGCGAAGTTTCCCTGGGGATCTCAAAGCAAGCCAAGAGGGAGCTGAGCTGGGAGGTGCGCAAGGGGAAAGCGTGCTGGGGTTCTGCAGCAGTCCCAGGCTTTCAGTCTAGTTAAGATTCTGCCAACTCCATCTTCCCCAGGCAGGAGTGCCAGGGGAGCCTGTAAGGGCTGGCCAGTGTCAAGTATCTACCAAGAGGTCCTTCCTTCAGCCTCTCTATTCACTTAATTTATGGTGCTGTCTAGTTACAGGCTAGTCTTGCCCTCTGGCTTTGGGGAATTCATGGCAAGTAATCTAGCAAAGGTCCCAGGTCAGAGCAGTGCAGAAGGATTGGTAAGTCAGCCAGTGTCACTGTCCACAGGCGTGAGCGATGGGGACAAGCGCTTCAAAGTGCTTGTCTGAGACTGACAAGACCTGTCAGCTCAGGGTGCTCCCTGGGCCTGAGGCATCTCCTGGAGCTGGGCTCTCCCTGGGCAGAGGCGGTATAGCAGGAGGCAGAGAAGATGTAGGTGGGCACTGATGGGTTCCCTGGGGGGCCTTGTGGAAGCAGGTTGCCATCCTGTAGCGCTCTGGCTGTTGGCACAATGACTTGCCAAGTTCTGCTTCTAGCCTGGGGCCAGGAGCTCAACTAGCAAATGTGTGCAATCAGAATAGGCAGAAATCCTTGTCAATCAGTCTCTGGGATGCGCTGGGATACCAGCCTAGGAGCCCTGCCATGAGCCCATTTTCTAGCCATCTGCTCAGCTGAGCCTCTGGCCTTGCAGCTCCCTTGGTGGCCAGTTCCCAGGTGTTTTCCCTTTTCTCCAGCTCTGACTGCATACTTGCCATCTGGGGAAGCTGTGCTAAGCTCAGTGGCCTCCATCAGCAGGTCTAACAGAGTGCTCAGGCCTATGTGGGAAAGCCCTGAACAAAGCTTTGGGTGAACAAGTGATAGCTGCCCTTTTAAAAAAGCCTCCTCTCATCAGCCAGGTCACCCAGATCCACTGAAGGTAACTTCAGGGATCCCCAATTCCCCTTCTGAAGGGGATGGTGCTCCCAGTCTCAGTGGGAAGTGGTAGCCATTGCTTTATCTTAAGCTCAGAGCAGGAATTCCTCCCTTTCCACCCTCTTTACTTTGCTTCCTAATGAAGTGATCCCAAGGCCTCTCACCTGCACACACACTCTTGGGTGAGGGACTTCCCTGTAGCTGGAAAAGAAAGACTTGGTTTCCCACTGGAGCTGCAGGGCTGGGGTGCCCCAGGCAGGATGCAGAGCCAGTCCGGGCTTTCCAGGGTGTTCGCCCCGAGCCGTGTTTCAGCCACTCTGCTTCTTTGAAACAGATACCACACAAGAGAAGAGCAACCTCAGCTGCTGTGTGGGCACTCATCTCTTACCCAGCTTAGCTTAAAGGTGGGGTCCCTGGCCTCAGGGCTCTGGGTGCCTCACTGAGTACTAGAGGACAGGACACAGCTGGAAGCTCCCAGCACAGGGCGGGGAGAACGGCTGCCTCTGCTCTAGGCACATTAACTCACCATTAGACCACAGCGTTCCCTGTAACATGCCTGGAGTCCTGTGTCACACCTCTCCATCCAAGCTGGCCTAAAGTATCGCACCCCTCCCAGCTCACCACTTTCTTGCCGCTCTGCCCCTCTGTAGTGCAAACTTGTGTTCCCACAGCTTCTGTCTCGTGACTGACCCTCCAAGTGCGCTGCTGCCCAGACCTGTGAGCTGCTGTTCGAGTGTCTGGGCTTGTGCATTTCCCTCGGACTTTGTGCGTTGTCCTTCCTGTTGATGCTGTTTTGTTTACTAACCTTTTTGTTTTGTTTCTTTGTAATTTGCTCAGTGTGAGGGAGATGTGAGTATTGACTGTGCTAAGTGCTGTGATTTTTTTTTTTTTTTCTTTATAACACCTCTCATTGTCTCTTTCCCATTTTAAATGAAAATTCCTATCTATCTCCCTTGCCCCATTGGGACTGGCCCCGGAGCATGTACTGAGCGTGGTCAGGGCTGTGGCTGCCTGGGGAAGGTGCTCCAGAAAGATGGGAGCATCTGTCGGCTGCCTGCAGCCCCTCTGGAGCATGCGCTCGGTTCCATCAACGCTGCTTGCAAGCAGTGCTCAAGAGAGGCATGGCCTCCAGTAAAGACCCACTGAGGCTGCTCTGCCTGCATGCAGGAGGAGGTCGGTTGGGTGACAAGTCCCCCTCCTGGAAGGCAGGCAGCCCAGAGACAATGACAGGCAGGTTGATCTGGTTGTGGTGCTGTTTTGTCCTCCAGGCTCCAGGGCTCTGCCCGTTTTCCCCATTACAAGAGCAGAAGAGGGAGGGAGGTGGGTCCCTTTTGACCACTGCTTGCAAATACAACTTGTCCATGCATAGGAGTGCAAGAGCAGCTTGCCTCCTTCATCCCATGTGCTATGACTAGTTTTGGGACTCCCTGGAGAACAGGGAGTGGGAGGAGAGGTTTCTTCAGTTGCTCTTGATCTTTTGTGGGGGAAAAAAAAAAAAAAAAACAAAAACCACCACCATACGAAGCTATTTCTGTGAAACATCTCTTCTCCCCACAGGGAAGAGTCAAGCCTAGTTGCTGTGCTGGCCTCAAATCTCACTGGTGCATTTTTCTCCCTGTATTCAGGTTTGACTTGTAATAGGAATCGCTCCTCCTTATTCCTTCCTCCAGCCATCCCCAAAACTCCTAGATGGTTTAAAAAAAAAAAATCTCTTCTTGTTGGGACTGCCTGACTGCTCTTCCACACACTGGTCACTCATTCCAGCAGCCTGCTCAGGGCCCAGCAAATCGCGTCAGTGTATAAGCAGATCTGGGTGAGCTGCAAAGAGATTAACCTGGGAGAGGAAATGTGGGGCCTGAGAGGATTAACAACGTAGCTGGGTTACAGCTGGATCGTGTGCCAGCCTTGCACACCGACCCGCTGCGCAGTAAAGGCTGACCAGGAGGATACCCTGATCCATCGCACCAGTGTGATGGTCCTGATGTAAGCTGGCTCCTTGACTTATCTCTTTGGGTAATGCCACAGGCCATCCTAGGAGGAGGCCTAGTCTTAGCTTAGCTGAATAGAGAGACCATGTTATGTGATGATTAGTGAGCCCACGCCTGTGTTGGGGTGGTCTGGATCCCTTGTATTCCCAGTGAGGAAAACCTCCAGAGTGCTTAAGCCTTCTGGCCCCAGGGCTATGGAGAAGGTGGCTTGGAGGTTTTCTGACATCTGGGGTGAAAACTCATACACTACCTCTGGCAACGGCAAGGCTTTGGACTAGATCTGCTTTGGCTAAGCCATGCCCCTCACTGAACAGCACAGATATGAGTCTGTTAGGAGAAAACATGCCCAGAGGCTCGGTGAGAGTAAGAACAAGTAGATGTGTTTCTTTAAAAGGCACTGTGGAAAGGATGCTCTGACGCTAGTAAACATGCCCACTTTAAGGACAAGGCCCTGTACAGGGACACTTATAGGACTGTAGGTGGAAAGCAAGGGGAAAGAATGTCCTGCACACTGGACTGAGCCAACATGACATGAGCAACCTGCTGGCTGCAAGGGAATGGGAAATGCATTTGAGATTGTGCTGTCTCATCTCCACTCCAACTGGCCGCTGTATGAGCGGATAGCTGTAAGTACAGGCAGAGTTTCTAACAGTAGAAATATCTGCTGTTCAAGTACTGGGTGTGACTGCATGAGCCAGTCCACCTCCTCTTGCACAAGCCTGGCTTCCACCTGGGGAGAGCTTCCACGCACCAGACTGTTGGGAGACCTTCCTCCCGCCATCCCATAAGAATTTGAACTAAGCTCCCAGCACTGACAAGGAAAAAAAAGACTAGTCCCTTCTTCCGTCCATCGCCCAACTGACTCCTATCGACTCTTCTGCGTGACTTGTACATGAAACTCTATTCCCCCCACTAGGCTGTGCCTGACTTTCAGGAGACTAGACCTCGTAATTACGTTCTCTCCGCCAGCGCATCAGCGGTAAGATTGCTTCCTCCTAGATGTTGCCTCTCCAACCTCTTCCTGCCCCTCTCTTCACCCAACTTAAACTCGGACCTAGTGCTCTGCTGTTTTCAACATTTTAATGTGACATGGGCTGCCCAGGGTTCCTCTGACTCAACCTTCAGGATGCAGATCACCCCTGTGGGGGTGCACGGTCAGGGTCTGGCACTTTTGCTGCTTGGTTTGCTTTCCAGTTTCTCTGCCAATCCTTTTCCACATTTCTAGTGGGGAATCTTCGGACTGTTTTTTATTGCTAGTGGAGCAATTGAAAGGAAAAAACCTCAAAGCCTTTCTGGATGGTTCCAGCTGTACGCTGGCAATGTCACATGCGTGACTGCCTGATCAGTACTGTGGTGTCAGTGCTCAGAGGCATTGTAGCTGGTCAAGAGAAGCAAAAGTGGAGGAATATCTCTGCCACCCATCGTGTCAGTAACGCAGTAGGCTGACAGTGCAGGCTTGTCTATTCTGCCAATAGAGGTCATTTTTTTTTCCTTTCATCTTGGGGCCTGTCTGTTGGCGGCTGTTATGCTGTCAGATATGCTGGGGGTGGGTGAATAGCCCGTTGCATCTCTGCTGTGTTGCGCTGAGTGGCTGTGGTCAGGCAATTGACTTTCCGTGCTGTGTTCATGGCTCCCCATTGCACAATGTCACATTTCTCGTTAAAATGTTGAAAACTGATCATCTTGCT